TTGTGAAAAACCTTCTCTGGCTACCTGTAAAGTACAGGATTATGTGTAAAGTCCTAGTTATTAACTTACAAGTCCTTAAATTGACTTGGGTTTGAATACCTCAGAGACATTCTGGAACCATACATCCCCAGTCGTTTTCTTTGGTCTCAGTCAATTGGATTAGTTCTTTTTGGCTGAAGACATTGAGCTACAGGGCATTTTTAGTGTTTGCTCGCTCCTCATGGAATTCATTAACCATGGAGGTCAGACTGGCTGACTCTTTAACATGCTCTAAATCTGAACTTAAGGTACATATTTTCAGATTGCTTATTAGGAAGTGTAAGAGTTGTATGGTTCTCTCTATTAGGTTGCTATAGTCTTTTCACATAGGAACATAACCTTGAGTGTCAGTATCTGAGAGCCAGAATTAGTGTTGTCTCAGGGTTATTTTTGTTCTATGCACTGCAAGAAAAAAATCAATTTGTAGTATTGCAACTTTTCCCAATAACTTTGTAAGGATCTGCAGAGAAGAGGTGTGGCAGATGGAAACCCTATGCTTAGACAAGACATTCCTACTTTTAAAGCACAGTTGACAATATGATCTAGATCAATATTTCCAGGAAGCACAGCAGACAAAGTAGAGAGCAACTTTCTTTTTAAGTTGGTTTTTTTTTTAAGTATTTCGTGCAAATATTATGAGCATTTGCTTTTAAGATATTTATAACTTTTCCTTTCTTCCTTTTCTCATCAGCACACATCCAGAGAAGCTTCCTTGGTTTTAGCTGGTCTGCACCACAGCAAATGAGCACTGAATTCAGTCACTAGATCAAATTAAGCTCTGATCTAAATAATTAATAAGACTAGATCAGATAACATTTTTACTGTAATAACAGGCATTGTTATGGATGCCTGTGTGGTGTGATGATACTTTCATTCCACAGTGGTACTGCAGGTGAACACATCCCAAATTATAAAAGCAGAACAAACTTAAAAGGTTGACTAACAAGAGTCTAACGGGATTTGCTTTGACCCTTCCCCTGTGTCCTGGGGAAAAATCAGCTGCTATGGAGGGGGTGATGCAATCAAAAGAGGGAGGCATGGATGCAGTTAATCCATGAACGTGCTCCCTATATTGGTATAGCACATATAAAGAACAATTCCCTATCAGCAGTGTATGAATAACTGTGTCTTGAGCTTGCATGCCAACAGTTATGTGTGGATGTCATCACTTTAAAAAATAAAAGCTGTTTCTATAGACATGCAAGACAGATTGGTGAATTTGCCTGGTTTAAATTAGGCTGAGTGGTTCATGATGGTGCAAGGAGAGGAAAGATATTTTAATAAAACCAGCCAAATCAAACCTTCCCTGCCCAATCGACTTTTCACAGAACAGGTTGACAGGGTATTAAAAGCTGTTCCATTGCATTCTGCATGTGAAAAGGGTGCCTAGCATCTAGATTTAATAGAGCCCTAAATAGCTATAGATAATTTATTCTAGTTATAGCTTTAAGTTCTGTTTTTCAGAGAATATGAGTCTTACAAAAATGGTTTCCATGCAAATCAAAACCAGCTGAAAGCTTGCCAAGGCCAAGATGTAATTTAAGATGGCATTTAAACCTCTCTGTCTTTTCTGTCTCTAGAGATATCATCATAAAATAAAAGAATTCATCAGGTAATGTTTTCTTCATTATTCAACTGCACAATTCTGAAGTGAAAAAGATAATTAGACATACAGTGCTGTCGACACATAGTTTATTAGGAGATTCTGATTAATTAGCTATGGTAAAAGGTTTTTATATAGTCATAATTAATTTATATTTCAAGAAAAAAGGCAAACAGACAGTACACAGATTTTAATATTTCTTTCCTCTGACAAATTTATCAAAGTAATTCTGAAGTTCTGTTGAACCTACTGCACTTCATTGTTGCTTTATAAAGTGGAAACAGACATCTAACAGCACAACTAATGCTGACTTCCCTGGGAGTCATCTTAACACCCTCACATCAGTTTGAAAAATTCATTTTTTTTCTCTGCTGAACCAGCAAGTGAAACAACTGTGAACTGCTCACCAAGACACACCCTGGTCTGAAATACGTAGAATAACAATGCAAAATTTGGATGCAACACACAAATTGCCTTCTAAATTCTCGTACTTCCTTCTACCCAATTGACTTGATCTACAGTAGGACTGAGGTCAAAATTTGATTATTCCGTGCTTCCTTTACTTCTGCATATTGTGGATTATCTAAAAGAGCTGGACATATTCTCTCCATGCATTGTCATGGTATCTCCAGACTTGTGCTCACACTCAAACCCAGCCTCCCTTCAGAGACCTCACAGAGGATACACTTTGATTTAGGTTTTGGTCAGCACAGGAATGAGCCAACTGCTGCAGCAGGAGAAGGGAAGGATGAGACAAACTCAAGCAAATTCAAGTACAAAGAAGAAATGCAACTTGTTCAAACCCTTCGGTGCAGAAAAAACCCTCACTGATCCTTGAGATGATTTTTGAACTGCACCATTGTGTATTCAGGTTTATTAGCCATAGCACCTCTGTTCTGGGATATAAAGTTCCATTTTTTTGTGAAACAAACCCATTATGAATTCCTGTTTGGATATGAGGCTAGATGTAAAAGCACATATTCAATCACCAGTACTGATCGGGGTTTGCAGGTCACTTATTCTGAGAGACACTTAGAGGTAAAGTCTTCTCTTGGGGCCTTCATCAACAACCACTGGAGACAGCAGGAGTCTCTCCAATATAATTTGACTTAATCTTTTAAAAATGCTCAGGTGGCACTTCAGCTATGGGCAGAACTAGAAAGACTGACAAAACCCTGTTTCTTCTCTTGTTTCAGTAAAAACCTTAGTGATAAAAAGTAGCTCAAAACTAAACTGCAAGATTCCAGGTAATGTCCATTCCGTTTCTGGTTAAGCTTATTTAATGCAGTACATTACTCAGAATGATTTGGAGCTATAAAAAATGTTACAATAGTGAAGATTCCTGAATAAATAATTCTCAATTAAGTGTTAGCACCTAATTATATTAACTTATAGTAATTACTGATTCAATTATGAAATTGAAGATTAACCTGAAAATGCAGACTGGCTAATTTATTTTTATGATAGCTATACACCAATAGCACATGTAGTTGGGTTTCTCTAGGCACAAGCAAGGTAAAGGTTATTTTAACACTCTTTTAGATTGTCCTGCCACACTTGAAGAATATCTGACTGGAATACATACTGAATTGTGTCTGACACAATGTTCTATTCATTATTCTATAGTCTCATGCATTTGCACAGAAATAAGGGAAGAAATAGGCCTTGCTATTTATCATCTCTATTTATGGTTGGGGGTTTTTTCAGTCAAAATTTGCATGGGACATTTCATGACTTATACTTACTTTTATAGTAAGTACAAGAAGAAAACATATTTCCTAATACACTTGTTTTTGAGTTTTGTCTTGGGAACAAGAAAGATTGAGAATGCTTTATGGTTCAAATTTGGATGGAGGGGAGAATGGGGTCAATTGTCACTCTAAATGACATCAGTTAAGTATTTAAGGAAAGCTTTTGATGTTCAGAACAGTGAGGAGTAAGATGAAGATGACAGACTAAAGCTTCCTTTGGGTCAGAGAAGATGGACTAGATGAACTCCTTAAGCTCCTTCCAGATTGTAGATTTTATGGAAGTGTGTAAAATAAGACTTTTGGTGTTTTGATCTCTCATGTAATCTCACGATTACATTTTTTCTTTCCATACTGTGTGTGACTAAGCAAAGAGTTTTGCCACATATTCACACTTTAAAATCACGTGACTAAAAAAAAAAATAGCAGCGTGCCTTGGAATCTTAAACAGGTGATTCCTCCCAATCCCAGTTTTCAGTGATGATTTACTTACTGTGCATGTTACAATAAACATCATGATTCTCAACTACAGAGCTAACAAGCTGTATTTGTGAGTGGTGCATGTGGCGTATGGAAGAGGTAACAAAGCAGCAAAGATTACTTCACGTGGACAGATTATGTATTATTTGTTAGTGTGTCACTTCCAGTGCTCTTTCTTTTCCAAGTGAAAGTATAAAAAACCTGTGATTAGCTATGACGCTTTATGTGTTAGCTTTTACCCAGATAAATGTCAGATTTAGATAATCCTATAGGATCTGGGCTTCAAAAGCTTGGAAACATGACTCTGGAAGTTTAAGAAAATACATACATACATATTATTGAGATTAGTCCAGCAAACAGCACAGTCCTGCCATAATAATGCATGGGGCAGATTGAGTTTATCAACCATCTCCAAACATTTCCTATGTGAATTAGTGGAAACCAAGCAAATGGGAAAGGGGAGTGGATTATTCAGTAAAGATGACTAATAAATGTATCATTTCTCCCTAATCCATCTCTGTCCTAGCATGTTTTTTAAAATTTCAATCTCAAGTATATTTGTAACTTTCAGGAAGATAAAATATAGTATATATGGCTTCCAAAAGTGACTGCTGTGGATAATTCTTTTTATTCCAGTTCTTGGGCTTTCACACAGATAGTTGGTTTTTCCTCTACCATTCTTTTTTGCTTATATTTTTCCCATTTTAAATACCAAATATCTATAAAGCACTCAATTAAAAAAACATCATTACGAACAGCAATGCTGTAAAATCAAAACATTTTTCTATTGTAAGAGGAGTTTCTAAAACTGATCAACTTTTTGGTCCGTCACAAACTAAATATCTGTTAATTGTCTGCCAGCCCTACAAAGTATCATATTTATTAGGCATGCCATTCTTGGGAAGTGAACACCACAGGAAAATGTTGTAACTAATCCTCAGGCACTCAAATCCTTTTCCAAAATTAATTTTGCTTTTGAATTTTGTCTTTTAAAACACAAAGTCAAGTGCACTATGACACTACCTCAAAGAAAGAATTTCTCCCCTGCAGAGCATGCAGGGACACAAACAGTTTTAAGTGCACACTTAGAGTTCTGCTGTATACCCAGATCTTACTTCTTTGTCACTTACCCTGTTGTTATACAAGAAAGTGGAAAATTTCAGACTCCAGCAATCTGTGCTTTTGACTTGTTTTCCTCCTCAGGTTGTCAAACTGCAAAAACATAACGAATGTAAAGTCAATTTAAAAAAAGAAGTAAAATTTTCTGTAAAACCCCATTTGTGTTTTGAAGAAAGTCCAATTGTTTCACCTTTATACATTAACCTGTCACTACCCAACAAAATGTAGAGAAGTGATATAGGAGCTCACTGTCTCCTTTCACTTCATGACTCAGGTACCAAATGTTTCAATTACTTTCAGCGCACACTGTATTATCTACACTCTCATAAACACTAAATATTTTAAGAGTTCTCTACTGTTAAGAAGCTGGCAAATTGAAGGCATGGAGGTATTGAAGGAGAGGCAATCAAGCTCTTCAATACAAAACAGAATTTGTCACTGGATGTGTAGAAGAAGTGTGAACAGCAAGGTTAACCCTGTACTCAAATCCTCCCTTTCCCATTGCTGTTAAAATCTATTTCTTGCTGATGGTGAACTCACAAATGCAAAAATTACCCACCTGTCTGCCCACTCCACACAGCTGCAGAGATCTGGCTGCTGATCCAACCATCTGCAAAATGCAGCAGCCAGTTAATGAAGGAATTCAAAGCACTCAGAAAACCAGGTTTAATTTGCCAAGTGTCGCCTGCAACTCCAAAGAGGCATCCATTCTTTGGGATTCTTGATTAACAGCATTGGATTCAATTTGGGAACCTAAATGGGCAGGCCAGCCAGCTTTAGTATTTCTGAGTTGCATCAAGGGCCTGATACAAACCAGCCTGGTTTTGATTCCTACACCAAAACAGGCAGACTAGAAAAATCAACCTCACTGGTATCTAGCCCTGCAAACCTTAAAAAAAATCCACTCAGGAATCCACATCAGACAGACTTCTGCTGTTTACACACAGTTTGCTGTTTTCATAGAAAATATGTGACTGGAGCTTCCTGACACTTTGAGATATGTGAAACTAAATGTACTGAGAATTTGGAGTGGGAACACTAAATTTAGAGTTTAGAGTACTCAGCACTGATGTAATTGGGCCCTTATCAAAACATTTACTTCCCCAGCAAAAAAAGAAACAGAGCAATGCTGTGCAGTTTTGAGCAAGGAGAAAAAGGATGAAGAAAATATACTGGGTACTTACAACACAAATGATGGGCTGTTAAGAGATAAGGGATGGTATAGATGATGTCTCCATCCTTTAAATTACATCCTTCTCTTGGAAACAACCTCTGTGTAAACTGCAAATAGACAAGACAACACTTAATGAGAAAAGAATAGGATTCTGTTTATTCTAAGTCACACATCTAATTTTTTAACAACATTACAAACCCAAAGCTTTTGGAAAATTACTATTGAAAAATGAGGTGCAATAAAACTATAGTTAAAATGTGCTAAATTATGATGATCTGCCTGACACTCTCATGTAGAAGCAAGAAGAAATATTTTCCAAAATGCGTGTTGATTTACCCCCATTAATTCCTTTTTTCAAAACAAATAATCCATCCTGAAGTGTTTGTTTCCAATCTAAAGGCCACTTAAGATATGGAAAGATTGCAGTCACTTAACGATGTGTGTTCAGTAGACTCTTTCATCCCCCCAAATATACACAGACCAGTTACCTTACCTTTTGCACTGACTCTGCTATCCCAAAGCATCCCAATGTACTTTGCAAATATAATTAACAATATGGCCTGTCAATGTCCACTGCTGATATGCAACTGCTGGTTCTGAAACCATCAGCACTTGGTAGTACTGTGTAAATGTTTAAACCAAAAGTGAAGAACTGCTTATTAGTCTAGGGGGCAAATATAACCACTGAACTTGGAATTTGATTGGGATTAAGCCCTGGGGTTTACAACCCTGCTCCTATTATTGCATTCCCATGGTTAGCACCCTTTAGCTGTGTCATGGATAATAATGCTTTATTAGGTGACTGCATCAGAAGGAAGGGTGCTACACCATGAATAAGCCTGGGTTTGGTTTGGTTTTGTTGGGCTTTTTTTAATGAGAGAGTTCAAATATATTTTTCCAAAGTATCTATTTGGTGTAGAATCATAGAATCACAGAATCAGCTGTGTTGGAAGGGACCTCCGAGATCATCAAGTCCAACCCTTGATCCACTACCACTGTGGTTCCCAGCCCATGGCACTGATGCCACATCCAGTCTGTCCTTAAACACCTCCAGGGATGGAGAATCCACCCCCTCCCTGGGCAGCCCATTCCAATGGCTGATCCCTCTCTGGAAAGAAATTCTTCCTAATATCCAACCTGACCCTCCCCTGGCACAGCTGAAGACCCAGCCCTCTTGTCTTGCTGAGAGTTGCCTGGGAAAAGAGACCAACCCCCCCTGGCTCCCCCCTCCTGTCAGGGAGTTGCAGAGAGTGAGGAGGTCTCCCCTGAGCCTCCTCTTCTCCAGGCTGAGCCCCCCCAGCTCCCTCAGCCTCTCCTCACAGCACTTGTGCTCCAGTCCCTTCCCCAGCCTTGTTGCTCTCCTCTGGACCTGCTCCAGCCCCTCCATGTCCTTCCTGAGCTGAGGGCCCAGAGCTGGACACAGCACTCCAGGGGTGGCCTCCCCAGTGCTGAGTCCAGGGGCAGAATCACTTCCTTGGACCTGTTGGCCACCCTGTTCCTGAGCCAGGCCAGGATCCATTGGCCCTCTTGGCCACCTGGGCACACTCTGGCTCCTGTTCAGCTTCCTGTCAAAGTCAGAAGGAAAGCAGTTTTGGGGTAGAGGTAGGTAGGCTGGTTGCAGCAACTACAGCATCTGGAAGCTGCTCACACTCGGTCCTTTCTGGATGTCCCCCCTTTCAAGGGATTATCGGGCGCAGCTCCAGGCAGTGCTCTGGGTATCAGCTGGCATATTCCTGACACGCTGCCTACAGTCAAAGGAGTTGATTATTGTAGCTACAGACACCTGACACATTGGAAGAATCTCAAGCTGGTCACTCAGGCTGTCCCTACAGCCTGGTACCCTGGTAGCCCAACAAGGACTATCCCAGGGTATATTAAAACACAGCACAAAGCATTACAGCTAGAATACATAATGATTTTATGGTTCATGACTTGTGCTTTATGAAACAATAAATTGTGTTTACTTCCCCTGGTTACAAAAGAGGATAGGAGAATTCCTAGGTTGTTCCAAAAATGTAAAACAGGATCAGCAGTAAAAGATGTTGAAGCAGCAGCGTTTCTCTGAGAAGCAGCCAACTTAGAAGTGGAATATGGATTAGTGTCATCAGGAGCAGCAGCAAGAGCTGCACAGGCAGTCTGATGGGGCACTTTCTTTGCACATCATTCTGAGGCTCTACAGCTGAGCCACTCAGAAAATCACAGCTGAAAAATTTTGTCCAGAACTATCAAGCAGATTTGCACCTTCTCTACACTCTGAATTTTACAGGTTACTGAATAAAGATGAACGAATATCTTATGTAGCAGGTGTAATTTCGATATTCAGAAAGGAAAAAAGTAGCTCCACTACCATAAACAGCAAAGGCATGAACTAGAGTTTGATGTGCCATACAGGGTCTTTGCAGAAGTCTGTAATCTCTTGTCAGATGAGAAAAATAAAAGCTCTTTTTAAACAATTCAGTCAATCTCTTCTTCATTTTTTTTTTTTTAATTTGCAAAAACGGCAGCTGGGAAGTGTTTAACATGCTCTGCTATAATAAGGAAAAACTCAATGAATTTTCTTCTTTAACATGTCATTTTGAGATTATTTAAATACTCTCATTAATTATAAACTAACACAAAATATGCTAGAAGTCAGTCTTCCCCCCTAATTCAGAAGTAGCATTAATTTCAGTCTCTATAATTTCCTGGCTGTAGTGAACAAGCCTTAGGGAGCTTGTGAATCTACTTCTCTTAGTTGAAACTGGCTGTCAAGTTCAAAAATTATGAAGGCATAGACTGATAGTCTGACTGAAAGCACCATTTTTCTTTGAAAATACAGAAGACCAACCAATATTTACACTGGTAGTTTTTCAAGTGGCAGAAATATTTAAGCTCCAAAAGCTCAACAATGTATTTTCTCAATTTTAGAAAATTCTGAGTTACTGTAAGCCAGATTTAGACCAACTGACCGGGTTCAGTTTCAAAAAGTATTTTACAAGTCTGGGTTTACTTTCTAAGATGTCTCAAGGCAGGTACCTGAAATTACAAGTACCAGAAGTGACAGCACACTTTTGAAAACATAAGCTTCTGTTTCCAAAGCACAGAAAGTTATTTTTCTTACTGACTTTCGGACACAAAAAAGCCTTATTTATTCACCCCACATACTCAGAACCACGTGACCAGTTTCTTTGCTCCTGTCTGGATTGAGTTGGTTTTTCACAATGTCTTTAATGTGGTCACTTAAGTTTGCTCCTATATATATTTTGTGTTCTTATTAACATTCTGAAGAAGTTGAAGAATTCAAAGTAATAAGTAAGCTTTCCAATATGAATATCTATAGTATTTTCCATTATAACATTAGCTTCAAAAGACCTTCATGCTACCCAAAGAGTTGATAATTCTTTGTTTTACAAAGACTCCTTGCCTTGACATTGAAAATCTTGTGTTCTTCTGCTGAAGGTAAAATAGCTCTGCCCACAAAGAACACAGCTCTGCAAGACCTTAATGATACAGTAAAACATTTTTTTGTTCACAGAGTGTCCATTCCATGGTGTAACACAACCCCATGGCTTTTACTACCTAGCACATGCTAGGAGCACGTGAAAAATAAGACAATTCCTGATTTTAATACAAAAGAACAACTCTAATCAGGTATTCTTTTACCCCAATAGGTTAGTCCTTTATGCCATCAGGAAACAAGGCAAACTTTTTATCCCCATCCTACAGATGGGAACGAGCACTGAGGGAGCAAGACCAAGTGACCCATCAAATCTATGGGGGATATCAACATCACAAGCAGAGCTTGGAACTTCCAAATCAGTTCTTAGACTACTGGCCAGTGGCCCCAAATGGTGATCATGCAAATAGTCAAATTGACCATACAGTCAAAATAATGATGCATTTAAATTAGTCAATCTGTGATTATAATTACAAGTTTAATTTGTATTCTGCGTGCACAATAAAATTTAGAACTACCCAAAATATGTGTCTCAGAGGAGATTGCAATGTTTAATTTCCTGACACTCTGTAGATGTTAGGGAAGGGTTACTGTGATCCCTGTGTCTTTTAATATGCCCTAAAGATAAGTGAATCGAGATGAAAAAAATCCAAGAACCATAGGCAATCTCATAATCCATACTCTTTGTGCTGTTCATTTCCTAAGGACTGTTCTATGTGGGGGCAATTATCCATATTCTATGTATACTATAGCAGGAGACATCTATTTTCCAACTGCTACATTTCCCCCTCTCCAAATTGTACTCCCTCTGTTGGTATAATCAAAATGCTCATTTGTCCTTAAAGAGAAAAGTATAGTAAACATCTGAATTTATAGATTTCATCCTATATTCTTTAGCAAAATACACAAAAAAATCAAAATAATTATTATAGACTCTTAAAAATGAATTAGGCCTTGACAGTTAGCTACCTCATTCTGTTCTAAAATTCAAGAAACTCTGAGAAAATCTCTTTTTTTATACAATCTTTTGGATGTGTCATTTGCCATTTATATTTGATGGCCTTAAGGAAAAAAAAGTTACAAAAAGGTATTAATGCAAGTAGATAATAAAGCTGCATTCTATAAATCTATAGCAGCTTACAGTAATCATTAAAGCATGCAAAACTCTTTCATCTATTCAAAAATATGCAGTGCACAGAATGCCTGCTAAGGTGCATGACAAGTCAGAGTTAAATATATATTAATAAATGAATTAGCTTCATAAATAATAGCCATAATGACATTTTAGGAGACAATAAGTCTGAGGATTGTCAGAAAATGGTTGATGTATGAGCTTCACGTCTCAGTGATTCTTCAAAATGAATAGGCTTTGCGAGATAGTTCAGACCCACGACCAGCCTATTTCCTTGAATAATTTACTTGTTGTCAATTTGTACAGCCACATTACACATGCAAATTGTGCTGCCTGTGCAAACACCACTTGGAGATGATAAAAACAAATTTACGAAGGCTATAGAGGAAGGATTTATTTCACTTTCTCGCCCAGGTCAAGCAATACATGTATCTGACGATTGTGTGTACCCAATTTTGTTGTAATTATATCAGCAAATTATTCTTTATAATCTTATTATTTTTAGCAGTCTCCTTGTGCTTGGGATAATTAGCTTTCTTCACTCAGTGTAAAAACAATTCAACTTGCCAGCTAGGCAGGGCACAGCTCCATTATCTGTTTTGGGTTTAAATTTATTCCCTATATTCTTGGACACTTTGTGTAAATTAAAAATTTCATAGTCCCTAATACTGTACACGCTGTTCATTCAGTGATGAATTAAGGTCCCTAAACCTCTACGTTTGCTATTAGATATCTCACCCACTTTATATGTTAATCTGTGCTAATGAATTCCACAACCCCTAGCCACAGCGAGATGACTAAAATTATTACCACTTACAGAGATATGCCTTTTTCATTTAAAGTTCAATTCAAATTGCTCCCATAAACAGTCTGCCACACAAAGATACCTCCTTTAAAGAAGAGTTACTTACCTGTAAGTAGAGTTCTCGGAAGGTAGCACTATCTTTGGATACACATTCCTCAGCCACGTGACCTCTGGTTTGTGGCAGGGGGAGTGGATCTATCCCTTGATAGTTAAGACTTTTTCCTCGAGGCACTTCATTAGCTCTGCAGCTCCTGTGCCTCCGGGGTTATTTGTCCCACAGCCTGTCAACACAAGCACCCCTCACTTTTGGAAGGCCCCGGACCAAGGGGAAGAGCAGAGAGGCTCCTTGGAGAGGTGGCCGTGGTGTTGGTGGAACATCTGCACAGCAGCTCTCAGGCAACTGCCTTCTTCCCTCTCCAGAGCTACCTGGGAGCCTGTCATTCATGGGAGAACAGCAAAGCCAGGGAAACAAAACCACAGAAGGCAACACAAAACACCTGGCACGGTGTTATGTGTGTGCAGCAGGACAAGAGTCACCCCGGTGTCACCTGCCCATGGTGCAGCTCCTCGCACTTCATAGAGAGCCCGGCTACACAACCAAAACTCTACTTCTCCCCAAGGAAAATCATCTAAATATTACAGTTTCCTGCAATACCCTCTGCTGAGCGATTGTGTTTCAAACCAGTAGAGGGCATTGGCAGACACAGAGACTAAACAGGTTTGTTACAGGAGCTTGAAAAGTCAGCTGTTGTTTAGAGAGATCAAACAATAGCACACTTCAAATACAGCACAAGTATCAAAACTAAGCCTTCAAAGTTAATCAACGCAAAATATAACTAAAACGATCGAGATTCTTATAAGACTTTCCAATTATATAGACCTTTATTGCAGTACAAATACTAAACTAATTAATTTTATCTAATATTCTTGAAAAGTAGTTGAAATAGTGTTGTTTGTTTCACAAACTAAAGTAAGGAGAGATTAAGTGCCTTGCCCTAGCTCCAGATCTGAGTGCCACGTGATGGGACTCCTAGCTTAAGAGTCACTATTGTGCTTCTAAATAACACCAATTAATACACAAAGTAAAACTCTCTCGGAGATTAAGAAAACTGCTTTCTGACTCTTTTTGTGTGAAAACAGTCGGATGATATTCCATTTATTGATGTGGCAGAAGGGTGTTTCTCCTCTATTGCCAGAGAAATGTATCCAAGATCCCAATCCAGTATATGGACTTTGTGTTCATCACCACAAAATTGGGACTGATGTGTTTGGATCTCTGGAATTTGTCCCATACTGGGTGAGGACCCTGACATTGGGCTGATGTGAACGTTGTGGGGAATTATGGCTGCAGGTCCCATAAAACATATCCTGTACTCAAAGTAACAAATGTAGTTGTAGCAACCCAGGGGTCAGGTCAGAAAACACAACAGTCCCCAGGTCCCAAGGGGATGAATAAATGCTGTGGAATAACGAGAAATGACCTTCATACCCTCATTGGCCTGCCATGGCTGGGATCCAGTTAAAAGAGGGTCATCTCCAACAGCTCGGTTATCCTTTTGCCTTCTGCAAAAAACGTATGCCAAGAACCCAGAGAACCTACAGAGTTTCTGCTTGGAATAGATATAGGTGATGAAAACTCTCTTCTACCTGTGAGTCACTAAAATTGAAAATATCTTCTTCATTCCTCACAGGAAGCCTGTGGCAAGAATAATAACTGAGTACAGATCTTCCAAGCTTCAATCTGGAGTTTTGGACAAAAGCTCCTACTTCCTCCCTGAAAACTGTGTCCTAGGCCTTTAGAGATGCCTTTTTTGAAGGAGTAGACAAAGCAACTTGCTCATGGGCTGCTGATGCTTAAAACCACAGACATTTCTTTCTGTTTCTATGGTCAGAATTTTCATCAAAATGCAAACCTCAGAGGAGCAAGGACATTGTAAATAGTGCTATGACAATATCTTCACTAAAAGTCAGGGCTTGATACTGAATTATTCAGTTTTGTACTTCTCTCAAACAAGAAAATTTAGGAACATCTGAGCAGATCTGCTTAGATCTTATATGGCAGAGCATGTGGAAAAAATGCCCTCTGTAAACCTTTTAATTGAGTTTAAATGTTCATTTGAGTATAATTATTTTAAAGGATTGATAAAAAGTATATTTTAAGTTCGCAACAAATTAAAAGTTTAGGAAGGAAAACCCAGAGGCTATTTTATTGTCTTTACATCTCTCTTTAAAATCATATTAATTTTCTTCTCCAACACTATTTTATTGTATTAAAATATAACCATGCTAGAAAAATTTCTCATTAAGTTAGCAAAAATGAAGACAAGGTAGATAGTATACCAACACAATGACTGTAATCTGCTAATACAATAAGGCCTTCCTATTATGTTTAAACAAGAATCCAGTTCTTGATCATTTTGACATGGTTTGAAAACACCGTCTCGAAAGGATAAAATGTAGCATTTTTCTATGCTTAAGAAAAAGTTTCTTATGTCCTCATTTACTGCTAAAAAGAAGCAATAATGCAAAATGTATGTTGTAGGAGATTTCATTTCTGCTCTAGGAAACTGTATATTTTGCAGAAATAAGATGTACAGGGTTAGTTGTGATTAGCTGAGCGTGGTTTCAATCATATACCAAGGGAATAGTTCAGGCCTCCACGGTGTCCTGTGGTTGATCTGAGGGAAAGAACTGCACTGTGAGAAGTTGCTGTTGGTACCTGGCCTGGGCACAGCCATCAGCTTTCCTGGGACCTGACAAATTCGACCACTTCTGTTACAGTTACCCATTGAGAGAGTTTCAAAAAGAACCCAAACAGTGCTGGGTTTTGTAGATGGTAATCCATACTTTTCACCCAGAAAGGAGCAGCACAGCCTGTTTCAGTGCTGCTCCATGAAAACAAGCAAAGGTATGGAAAAATGCCCAGTTCGGGCTTGACACAGTGCACACTGCCAAGTGTGGGGGTGGGATGAAGAGTCCATCCTAAACAGTGCCAGGGGTAATAACAGCACCAGAAGCTCAGACTGACTGCCCAAAGGAATACAGGATATCTTCTTCCCAAGCAAACTTGCTTAAGACCACCTCACACAGCATGAACTGGGAGTACCTTAGCAGTTACATGCTAATACTTGGCTACTGTGCAGTGACAATAAAAAGACCAACACCAAAAGCTGCTGATTCCAATTCCTGAGCACACCATGTGCTTTGCTCTACAGAGATTCCTGCAGCAGGAACCTCATATTCCTGTTGCCACAAGAAAATACACATGACAAAGTAGACTATAACAGCAGGGACTCACAGTGGTATCTGTAAATATCCAACAGCAGGTAAAGGAAGGTAACAGAGATACAGAGAAAACTCCCTAGAACCTGGAAAATCATAGAGATCATGGAAGATTCAAATTAAACTTGATGTTACATCTAATTTCAATAGTCCTTCCTTCTAAAGTTCAAGTAGCTTTTAAGAACAGCGTCAAAAATATCCAAACTCTAATTACTGTGTTGTGCTAGTTTGGTGTTCCACAGGAATCTCAGAGGCATGCCTCGTTTCATTCCTAGGAGTCATTGTTTGGCAGGTCTCCAGGACAGGAATTCAAGTGAGAAAGGAAGTTAGATCAGTTGACCAAAAGGAAATAAATCAGATTATTTGAATATTTGCTCAATGGGGAACAGAAAATTGCCATGAGAAGAATTTGACATCGAATCAAGTGTTGGACACAATAGCAGCTCTCATGATTTTGATGTAGGAACATGAGTGTTGGTCACAAGGTTGTGCTGCCTTCTATTTCCTTCTTGAAATAAAAAGACTCTATACATTATTTCAACAAACAAAACCCTAACAAATAAACAAACAAAAAAAACCCAAAACAAAACACAAACCACAGCAAATAGCAAATTCTGTTAAGTAGCCAACAATCTCTTTTGTGGTTTTGTCAAGCACTGACTTTTGAATACAAATGCTTCTGGATTGATGAAAGTCAGGCAGGAGCTCTTGCCACCATTTTTCTTTCATGGAAGGACCTGTGAGAACACAGAATTTATTGTGGGAGGACTGGAGATCATCCTGAAAATTTGGCTTTTAGAATTACAGACACAACTAATTTGCAATTGTAAAATGAAATTAATGTGAATATTTGAGTACTTCATTTGTGTGCACTACCAGTGCCATTGGCTTGTGGATACTAAATAAGGAGCACAATGTTTGGATACAAATTGTGTCACACAAAATTAAATTTGCCTTCTGAAAATTTATCCCTATCAAACATATAAATTTACAGGTCATAGAGGTGTCACATATTTTTCAATTTTTGGAGTGTGTTGAAATTAAGAAAACATCATGCAGCCCAATGGTCTAACAATCTGCTAGAACAAACAGCAGTGAATATCCAGTATCAATACAGTTATTAATTACCAGTTATCTGTATACCAAATATAACCAGTCATTAAATGTAAATAAAATAACTCTCTTAAAAATTGATTTCCCAGATGAGAGGAAAATCTAGTTAGCAAGCTGAGTGTGAAATTTACATGTAGTTCATGAAAAAGTGATTACTTACGGAATTAATTGATTTTAGAAATGAATCTAAGGATGTAAAATTATGGCATAAAACTGAAAACAATCTGAAGATCTGTTTTATGTCTATGAGAAAGGCACTTAGTTCTCCCTTCCAAGCACAGCCAATCCCAGAAGCTGTGATCCACCAAGAAATCCCTACTCAAAGCCATATTCCCTATTATCCATCTTCATAGCACTTGCCCTCTTCCTATTCCACTCAAGTATGTCCACAACTGGGTTGTGTCCTGGTTTGGGGTCAACAACTCTTTCCCCAGAAGTCTCAGTATCATACTGAGATACAGTTTTCAACCTGTCAAATTGTCACTCAAAAACGCATCTTCTCACAAATTATCTGAAAAATGGGAACCCTCCCCTCTTTCAGACACATTTCAGCGCTGGAAGAGAATCCACAAGGAACAACCTTGTAAGATTTGTGAGTTCACCTTTCCGAGGTTTTCTCTTTACCGCATCAATCCAAGGCACTAGTGGGAACCCTGAAAGGACTTTTCAATTCTTGAAAAATATCTCTTTTTAGATCTTCTGCTCTCTTCAGAGAATTACAGAATCACAGAATCAACTGGGTTGGAAAATGCCTCTGAGACCATTGAGTCCAACCTATGACCTTGTCAGCATCTTGTCACCCAGCCCATGGCACTGAGTGCCACGTCCAGGCTTTCCTTAAACACCTCCAGAGACAGTGACTCCACCACCTCCCTGCACAGTCCATTCCAATGTCTGATCACCCTTTCTGTGAAGAACTTCTTCCTAATGTCCAACCTAAACCTCCCCCTGTGTCCTGAAGAGTATGACCATAGTCATTCTGTCCCAGCATAAACACTTTGGTGTGGCATGATTACAAGGTTTACTCTTGGAACAGATGCTGTATTTCTTTATGGCAGCTGGGACTGCTGTACAATGTGTTGCCTGTCTTTCTTCTGAAAGAAACACGAGTCTCATGAGGAGCAGCTGAGGGAGCTGGGGGGGCTCAGCCTGGAGAAAAGGAGGCTCAGGGGGGACCTCATCACTCTCTGCAACTCCCTGACAGGAGGGGGGAGCCGGGGGGGAGTCAGGCTCTGCTCCCAAGGAACAAGAGATAGGATGAGAGCAAACGACCTCAAGCTGTGCCAGGGGAGGTTTAGGTTGGACATGAGGAGGAATTTCTCCACAGAAAGGGTGATCAGACATTGGAATGGGCTGCCCAGGGAGGTGGTGGAGTCACCGTCCCTGGAGGCGTTTAAGGAAAGCCTGGACGTGGCACTCAGTGCCATGGGCTGGGTGACGTGGTGGTGTTCGGTCACAGGCTGGACTCGATGGCCTCAGAGGTCTCGGCCAACCTGACTAACTCTGTGATTCTGACAACAACCTCAGTGGCACTGGGCCATCTGCCCCTTCGGGAGCTCTTAGGGGAGCCTGGAGGTCAGTCTGTTCCCCTCACAGGGAACACCCCCCTCCTTCCCAGGGAACACCCCACACTATCCCATGGAACACCCCACACTTTCCAAGGGAACACTCCCCTCCTTCCCAGGGAACACTCCACACCTTCCCAGGGAACACCCCACACCTCCCCGGGGGACGCCCCGCCCCGTTGCCATGGAGACCGGCGCGGCCGCTGATTGGCTGCGCCGCACGGCCCAATGGGCGGGCGGGGTGTTCCGGCGGTGCCAAGATGGCGGCCAGGTAAACACGGCCGGGCGGGGACACCGAGGGGACATTGAGGGGGTTTCGCGGGGGTTCGCGAGGGCTTTGCGAGGGCTCCGCGGGCTATTGGCAGCGCCGCCGGGCCTGCGGGGGTCGGGGGGTTCCGTTTGCCGTCCCCCACCCTGCGGTGGAGCCGCTTCTCCTCCGGAGCGGGTGCCCCGCGCTTCCCCGGCCTGCCCCGGGCGGGCTCTTCTCTGTCGGCCTTGCCCGGCGGCGAGGGCAGGGGCTTGTGCTCCCCGGGAAGCTGCTCCTGTGGAGGGACGGGAGGCGTTTGCTCTGGTGTCGCCCCTAAACCGAAAGTAGCCGTAAACAAATGCGAAGGGGCATAACTTTAAAGGACGAGGAGGGGGAAAAAATGAACTATAGCGTCAACCTGTGGACTCAAATCGTCTGCTCCTCTCTGATGCAGTAAGTAGTAGAAGCTTTATAATGTGCTTTTCTAAAGCATGTACTGATAGTTGCTTGTGAGAAGCTAAAATATTTCTGATGAGGTGTTTGGTGTTTCTCTCTCCTGCAGGTTGTTCTCACCTCGGGATGGGTAACGTGGTGTCTCTGCGGTGACTTGAAGTGGTTTGGACTTGCTGAAACTGGAAGATGTGGAGTGGGCTGTTACCTCCAGGAGTGAATGAAAGTGATGTTGATTTGAGTTCTGATGATGGAGACGATTCTCCTGCTTCCTCTTCAAAGAAAGGGGCACCAGATGATATCCAAGGAGCTGAGCTTTCTGAACTCCCAGGGAATGGACAGGAGAGTAGTGCCAGCGGTGAACCTGTTGTGATACCAGTGGCAGATGAAGACAGCGAGTCTCACACGTGCCCTCCTGGAATCTCTGTAAATATCTGGAATGTGCGTGTCTTCGCGGTTTCCAAACGAGCATTAATACAACAGGCTCAGAGCCCAATGGCTGATTTTTAGATTAAAATAACTCAATGTTATTTTTATCTGAAATGAAATATAATATGATCAAAGGATATACCTGAGGTTGTTTCAAGCAGGGAGAGCAGGAATTTAGGTAGGAAGTGACTGGGTAATTTGATAGTGATTGAAGGCACAGCAAGGAGTTTTTATAACTAGACAGCTGCATGAAACTTGTGTTCTCAGTGGTTTTTGGGCTCTGAGCTTCTTGGTAGCTGCTTTCTGCATCAGTAAGGATTCACAGCTCAGTATATCAGCCATGGTAGGGGTGATGCATATGAGGAAAGGGTACCAGCAGAAATGTATTCTTGGCACATCCCATGAGAAAACTGTCAGATTTGAGTAGTTCTGGGATGTAGGGAGGGCAGAAAGTCAGGGAGACTTTCTGGTGAAAGATTAGAACCAATTCTGTTTTAACACCATCAGAGTTGGATGTTCTTGATTTGTAAGTTTGAATGTAATTGTTAATACCAGGTACTGTGGATAAATAACATACCGTCACAATGTTTCTCAGCACAATATGTAATTTCTTAAAAATAGGAGGGGAAAAATTAAAAATACTGATTTGCTTTTTCTTAATCTTGTAGAAATTTGTGGAGCTTCAGAAGAAGCACCGTGAAATGAAAATGGAAGCAGAGCAGGAAAACAGATGCCGAAAGAGAAAGCGCCACCGCAAAGGTGTTCTTTATAATTATGGAATTTACTGTCTCAAAATTGAATTGTTATCAGCACGTGCTGGTTTGGGGGGGAGGGGAGAGTTGTTGTTTTTATTTTGGCTTTTTTTTTTTTCTTTTTAGTGAAGAAATGAGTGCCTGAGTAGATGTATTCTATCTGTTGTCTGTGATTTTATTTTTCTAGTTGTATACAGCACTTGCAGGTCCAGGTTGTAAATTGCAACTTAAAAAGCAAGTAATATATTTGTCCTCTTCTTTAAAAGAAGGTAGAACTTACTCAGTTAGTACTGATTTATAATGGTTAAGGGTGTTTCAGTAATTCTATAAATCATACTTTAGTGTATTCTAGTTAAAACTTCTTCACAGATACTGTAAGAGTCTCTTACAGCTGAGTGGTTTAAAACCACACCATCATTGGGTAAAAATCCCAGTGTGTTGACCTTTGAAAGGAAATGTGACCAATTAGAGCTCTGTAAGTTCACTGGGTGCTGTGGGGTATTACTGTGTAATGTCGGATTTCTCTTTTCTTTTTTCCCCTTAGGAAAACAGAAAAAGGCTGATGAAGTGACTAAGAGGTATAACCAGGTCAATGTGATTTCCTGAGGTCTGTTTTTAGTATCAGGCAAAACTTGTAAAAAAGCTTGACCACATGCATGGCTAAAGCCTAAATTTGAACATCATGTTAAATATCTGCTGAATATTTTCCATGTCTCTGTTGGACAGGCTGAGTTTGTATCAGTGAGTGCTAAATGGAGTGTTACTGCTTGATTTTAAAAATCAACATTAATGTATTATTTACTGTAACTTAAAATAGACTTAATGTTGTTCCTGATTATGTTTTGCATGTAACTGCATAAACCTCCTGTTCAGCCTGCTCCTTCTCTTGTTTTTCCTTCTTGTATTTCCTTCTGTGTTGTATTTACAGTTGGATTCGATGATCTTAAAGGTCTTTTTCAGCCTGAATGGTTCTATGATTCTATCAGCTTGCTTTCAGCATTCTGGAATACTTACAGAGGGGGAGGAATAATTAATTTCACTTGAATTAAAAACTGAATGGGTGAAGAGAGCATGCCTGCCAAATGGAAGAGTTTATTCTAGCACTGAATCCTATTTAGCATAAAATATTACAAGTTGTGGAAAGGGAGCTGGTTACACTGATGACTTGTTTGTTTGTTTTTAATAGCCAACAGTTGGAAAATGAAGAGAAATGGAAAGAGCTAACACAGTACTTTGGAATCAATGATAGATTTGAATCACCTGTGGATAGCAGGGCCCCACAAAAGGTGAATGTTGCTACAAAGGCAGTGTCAGCTTGTACTTGGTGGTAAAAGAAGTTGACATTACCTGAGATAGGAATAAAACTGAGTCTATTGGGAAGGGCAAATTTGTGATGTTTTTAATAGATTTCTTTTTTGAATGGTTGCTCTGCTTGCTCTTGAGACAGCATCCAGGCTTGTTTCTTGTCTGGTTATATTTTCTCAGGATGCTTCATATGTGGTGTTTGACTTTTTATTTTCTCTTGTTTAGTCGTGTTTTAACTTTAAAATGTGTCACAAAAATCCTTCAGTTGGCACCAGTGGCTTTAGGAATTAAAAGGGCAAATCTATCATGCATTTTTGGTGGGATTCTAACACTTCCTGTTCATAAATACTGTGTAAGTAGTCATATTTGAACTAATTGGTACACATAATGGACAATTAAGAAACTTCATATTGTGAGTTCCTGGTAGCACTATTTGTTCTGTAGTTTTTCTGGTGAAGTCCTGTGTAAGTTCTATGGCATCAAATGTCCAGTTAGCCTCCTTTAGGATACACTTTGGTTTTTTCATTTGCCTACAGTAGGTTTCTACATGAAAGTCATGAGACATTGTTCACTCCTTACTCTTGGTGGCTCTTGAGTTGTCATTAAACTGGTCAGGATAGATCTGGAATAAGGCCCAAAGTGTTAAAATGCAGATGGTTTCCACGTGAGTTCAGGGACTTTATCTCTAGTGGAAAGTGTGTCTCATTACTTTCAGAAAGCACATCTAACAGAATTGGCTAGCACTGCAATTTCCAGTTGTGCATTTTGTTTTCTCAACTGCCACCTGACATAATTGAAGTGCAGAGTTTGCATATCACTGTTTCTCCAGAATTGTGTTAGATTTTTTGCTTTTGTCTCTTCAAAAAGTGTTTGTTATGAAACTGTCAAATGTGTTTTCTTTAGCATCACTAATATTTAAAACCAGTGAGGCTGTAAATTGCCTTTTGTTATGAGAGTGAGTTTTTTTGTGAAATTCTGAAGTCAGTGCCCTCTGCTATGTTACCCTTCTGTATTCCATCAGAAGTTTCCAACTATAATTTCCAAGAAATATTTACTTTTTATGGTTGTGTTATTTGTAAATGTTGCTGTTGAACAAGTTATGTTACATTGATCATAACCTCTGAAAATAACCTTTAAATTCTGAAGCTTTTCCATTGTTTTCCATAGGGCTGCTAGAATTTTTAATTTATTAGTACAGGGAGTGGCATCGTGCCAGAACTCAGTTTTTGGAGAAAGATAAGATCTTAGAACTGTAACGATACAGTAGTAATTGCCATTCTTCATGTTACCTGACACATATATTTTACATTTTGTTTAGAAAGCTCCAGGGATGGGAGAGATAAGACAGATCTTCAGATGAAATTTCATTGTGAGAGGCATAAACTAGTCCGTGTAATTTTTTTAACCTATAGTATTATCCTGCACATAAGGTGGAACTAATGCAATGATTTGTGCTCGGGCAGCCTTTCAGTGAGTTCTTAATTATACTGTCCAGTACAGTACAGAGACAGAGTGGGTTGTGTTACATAGAAATTGCAGGTTTGTACAGTGTCCTAAAGAATTTTATGAAAGAAATACTTTTAGAAAGGATGTACTCTCTTTAAATGTGTTCTTTTTGTCTTAAAGATATTTACCTTTTTTTTTTTTTCCTAGTCTGGCCTTGAACTTAGCATAGAGAAGTGTGTGGCTGAAGGGGACATTGCTAAGGCTGAGGAGCTGAGTGACAGACTGGCCATGCGTGAGGTGAGTGGGCTGTTAACAAAAACTGCCAGGGGACACTGAGTTTTGTGTGTCTGTACAAAAGGTGTCATGGCTAAAATAGCATTGATTGCTCCATCTTCCCTGTTTCCTGAGCAGAGTCCTGTCAGTGACTGAAGGACTTTGCTGCTGATCTAGTAGTGCTTGGGCAGCTGGAGCTGTGTTTAAGACTTGAAAATTCGACCACAAACAATGCCAAGTAACTTTGCTTTGAAGCCTTCTGCTGACTCCACGAGTCAGAGGGGTTGGTAACTGGTCCTCCATAATGAGCTTTTGACTTCTCTGTATGTTGCCAGCCAAGAGAACAGGAGTAGGATGTTCCATTCCTCTCAGTTCCCTGTGCCTCATATTTTTCTTTGCATTGCCTCAATAAGCTTGGGAAGCCTGAAGACAGGTAGAGATTTAGCAAGCTTAGAGTGAAATGTGTCCAGAGAAGGACATACATACCCCAGCTTGTGTTCCAATACTTTTTCTTCCTGTGTATTCATGTTTTCAGGAGTTGATGGCCAGAGGAACTGGGGAGAAGAATGGGAGTAGATGGTTGTCAAATATATTGCTGTAGCCTTAGAATTGTGTTGGATTTTTTTTTTCTCCTTGTCATAACTTTTTAGTGTATAAGTGCATTTCTAAAAACAAATCCAGGTGAGAAAACCACAATTTTTTCAAAATGTTGTCTTGTTTGTTGGTGTATCTGAGAAATTTCATGAAGGCTGTGCTGCCCTTTGCTACAAAAATTGGACCCTTCTAAGTCTGTATGTAGTGCTTAGTGAATACTTAAACTGGTGAGGAATCTTTTAGGTAGCTCTGGTAATTTGATGTCAGAAATACTTGAATAGGTGCACATAAGGTAGGTGGTAGCAGCTGAAGTATGTAATTTAAATCCACGAGATCTGTTTTGCCCACTGCTAGCTGTGCATGGGGGAGAAAAAGCAGAGGAAGAAAATTAGGATAAAAATATAGTTGGAATAGCTTTGAAGCCAGTTAAGGAAAAATCTAAATATTATTTGAGTGAGTGGAGAAGCGATCATTTTTTAACTAATCTGATTTGTATAATTTAGAGATTCTAGATTAATACTAAAAATAATTATATAGTTTTTGCTTTCATTCCTTCATTTTGCATATTCCATCTTCACACAGCTAGTGAGAATTTTCTGTCCACTGTATATGCTTTCCAAATTCAAAGGTATTAGAAGAGGACTAAGAAAGCAAAGACAAATTTTGACGACTACTCATTCAAATATTTTAAATAGGGTTTTAAAGTAAGCTTTAATGTAAAACTGCAGATTTAAATCTGTTTAATGCAATGTATTACAGTGTTGTGGTGGCTTTAAAAAGAGAGGGCTTTTGAAATGGGAAATAGAGTTCTTAAGGTTCTGTGAGGTTGGGTAAAACTAACTGTTCCTCAGGGAGTGTTCTTACAGGATCGTTAAACTCCTCCAGGTAGTCACTCAGGGCAGTTTGTAATGACTGGCCTCTTATCTGCCTTGTCACCAGTGATCACAAAACTTCAATCTGCAAAGATAACAGCCACTGACAGTGATAGGAATGTGTCCTGATGTTCCCTTTAAGTCTGACCAGCTTCTGGCTGTTCCATTACTTTCATGTGTACAACGTGACAAACACTTGCTGTTCTCCTTCACAAATGTCATTATCCCATCTGCTCTAAAGTGGTTAGAGTATCATAATCAATAAAACATACTGAGGTTCTAGTGCAAATTGTTTGACTATAAAAACAAATTAATGTAAGAAGTTTTAAGGTTTTGTAATATTTATGATAAACTGTTATCTGATTTTGGTAGCCATGGGATTATACAACATCTAGCACATCCCAGGTGCTGCAGCAATGTATTATTATTTGTGGAACATTAGCTCCAAATTGTTGACTTTCAAATATTAGCATGTTGTAATTCTGAAAACAAAATGCTTGAAACATTATTAGTATTCACAGCCTTGACTTGGTTTTGGTTAAGTGGGTTTATCTGAATAAATAGTATGTTGAAAGAAGGAAAACTCAAATGGCTGGCTTGATCTCTCCTGAGGAGTTCTGCAGAGGCAGATTCCATGTGAATTCACTGGGGTTCTCTGCTGTTGTAAGGATGTGCTCCATTACTCACTGCAAGGTTCATTTTTCTTTGTGATTTTCAGAAGCTGTATTTTTTTTTAAATGGATCTTTTAAATACTTTTTTTCCTAAGGAAGTTGTTCTAAGAGTGACCGATTCAGTGAAGAGCTATAGAAAAGGATTTGATTGTGGAAGAGGTTGATTCCACAGTCATTGCTTTGTATACAAGTACAGTTAATATTGCTTTCATGTTGTGATTCAATCACAACAGTATTGATTCAATCGCTGCTTTCCTTCTCTTAGGAAGGAAATTTAAAGAAATGAAATTTAAAGAAATGTCCCTTTTGAGACTCTTTTTATATAATGCTTCTAAGAAGTGAGTTTAATTAAGTATGTGGCTATTTGTATCCCTCTAACTTCCAAATGCAACACAACACAGTGAGCAAGTCAGGCATGGAGCTGTACTATGGCTGTGTTGAAGGGCACCACTTCTGAAGTCTGGAGAAAGAAATGGATGAATTATTGTTCTTTTATCTCGACTCCATCTCTTTATGTATAGTTTTCATTTTTCTTGGGCAGTGTCACAGGGTTGGGGACAGGGAGTGTGTGCTGTTTGGGGTGCAGCCCCCCTTGCAGCCCTGGGAGAGCTGTTCAGTGGGCAGGTGTTCTGTTTGAAATCAGGTGTGTGGGGTTTTAATCGGCACCATTTGCTTTTGCGAGAAGCAGTGACTGGAACCTGCTGATAAAGCCTTTGCTTTGAGGCACAGATCCCAGAGTTCTTAAAGCCGTTTCCTGCCTTAATAAGTGAAACTAATTTTTGATGTATAACATTTATAAGCCTGTGAAACTGATAGGGCAGCTTCAGTATTTAGAAAAACGAAGCCAAAAATAAACAGATGATGACTATAGACAGTAAAAGCACGTCCTGAAAAGCAAAGGAATGTCAAAATGATGCTGTCAATATGCTATCATTATGACACAGTGAGAAAAGGTTTTTTAAAATCAAATTCATTCAAAATCAGTGATGACTTAGGCAATATGCATAATCTAGCAGCTGTGAATGCATTACAGAATTTTACATCCTAAAAACCTAAATGATACTGCTTCAAGGTTTTGGGTCTCTTGCTTTCCAAGTGGGACTTTTTGCAGGTTCCATAAGGAAAATGTTATTGTACTGCAGTAAATGAGACATTGGGCAGTATGATGTTTGTTGTTTTCTTCTGCTTTGACAAATATGCACAAATGCTGATTTTTGAAACAAAACTTCTCAGTCTGGTCATGTTCCAGGTTTTGGACTGAGAGTTAGAGCTTGGATACCTTATGCATGAGGCTGTGTTTACTAGTGTGGATTCCTGTGTAGCTTTTGAGACTAGCTGATGTGTTACCCCTGTTTTACTGGCAGTTGATTCTGTTATAAAAATGAGTTGTAGTGACATAATGATGCTGATATTCTGTCTGATCTCTTGGCAAACCTCACTACAAAGTGTTAGCCCTTGTCTCCTGTTGTCAGTTATTAGGGGAGCAGATCCTCAAAAGTGGTGTCCTTGGCCATCTGCAGAGCATGTCCTCATGTGGGATATCCTACTTCTCTGCGAGGTCTAGTGATCCTGAAATTCTTGATCTCGTTCTTTTATATATGAGTGAAATTCTGCCTGAAGAAATGTGGCCATCACTGCATTATGCTGTCCAGAATAATTTAGGCCATCAGTAACTCTGCTCCTTTAGCTTCTGCTGGAGCCCCTCGGTCTGTGATGCAGTCAGAGTGTACAAGGTCAGCACTGCTTTGAATGTGTTGACCAACAACATGATGCACACAGGTCACACTGCTTAATCCTAACTCACTGCACATCTTAAAGCATAGGTAGACTACTGCATTATTTCTTTCATACCTGCAGTACAGTGCCATTAGTATTAAATAACTAGCAATTCATTGCAGTGTTCATGGTATAATATGCACAGTTATTGTTCATTGTTGTAATCCAGTTGCTGTCTTTGTTATCACATTCCAGGGTTTCCAGCATTGGCAGAGCCCTTCATGTTTTACAGTTCTGCTCCTCAAATGTAGACTGGAACACCTAAAGGTGTTGTTTGAACATTCCATTTAAGGATGACTTGTTTAACTTGAGGGATGCCAATAGAACTGTTATTAATAATGTAGGAGTTACCCAAAAAATTCTGAACCTTTTAGAATGAAACTTTATTGAGAGAATAAAGTTTATGGGGACACTTACCTGGGCTGAAATAAAATGGTTTTTTGGTGGTGCCCTAGGGTGGGATAGCTGAGATCCAACCATAGCGGGTACTTGGATATGTAGCTTGGAACAGACATTTGGAATTATGTCAGCTTTTTAATGCTCTGTAAAAATCTTCTTGGAATAGTATCTTGAGATGTAATTAAGTTATTCCTGCTGTGTTTGTGGGAATCTGCCTAGATTTTTTTTTGAAGAGTAAATGTTGATAAATTAGAGCACTGTGACTGTGCATGGTTGGATGTGTTCATCCCTTTGAGTACAGGTGGTATGTGGAGATACCTGGTAATGTCACTTTGCTGTAAATCAGCTTGTTGGGAGTGATACTTGTAAAAATTGTTTACCTAATTAAACCAAATAATCTTAAAAGATTCCCCACCTCCACTCCTAATATATATTTTCCAAACTTTTTTCCCCCTAGGGAAAGAGTTTTTTTCATAGTGCTTCTGTAGTCAAGTCCTGGTGTGGTGTCTCAAAAAGCAGAACACAGATTTCTTATGGCTCTAATATTCTGAGAACTAATCTGACTAAAGCTCAAACTTTGCATTTTCCTGTGTTTTTTATGTTAAGTGCCTGGTAGGTAGGTGCCATATTGTCTAAGAGCACATTAGCCTGAGGACTGTAACTTGAACATGATAAAATAATCTTGACCATATTAGACTTACCTGTCAAAAG